TGATTTCGGCAATCTACTCCTTTCTCTACTTGCATCGCATCGTTTCATTCATGTGGTTTTACCAAATTATTAGGTCGCAGCTTGTAGCTTTAGCAATATTTACTTTATTTATTCATCTTTGTTTAGATCTAAATACAATTTTCAACGTATGAAAGTGGTTGGATTCAAGTAAGTTGTTATTTTATAACCAATAAATATCATAAATTAAATAATCACAATATAATGTTTTTTTTTACATATTTATAATGATAATTTACAATTACAATATAGTGATCGTAGTTATGTATGTATGTATGTATATGTAGTATAAATTTATGTAAATATAAGGCAGCATCCGCCAGATGACAGTAGAACAAAAAGGTAAAAAATATAATTAAAAATTACCAGTTACACAGGCTTTTGTTGAAGAGATCTGAGCCTTGATTTTCGAATAAGAAACAAAAAAACAAAAAACTACAAATGGTAGCCCTAATTTAACTACACCGTGTAGCAGTGAAAAAGAACTTTTTGAGTGGCCTAGTATAGGTCGATGCTCAGGTTGAATAATTAACTTTCACTAAGGCGTATGGGTCGATTATCGATAGCAATCGAACTACAGTTGCGTTGCTAGTTGCCAAAACGATATTACAGATGGCAACTGCAAACTTTCAACTGACAACTGCAGTTACTACAAAGTGTGCATACAGGCGACTACATTTTTGTGGTTGCTGGGAATGTTTTTGCAGCGTATTTAGGAGCGAAAATTTAAAAGTGTGTCATATATTTTACTTTTTAATAATTTCAACGATATTAACATTTTTCAATGCAGTTTGCTTTAACAGAATATTTTGAAAATAACAAAACAATAACTTGAAATTTTAGTTCCCTTTGGCGAAACAAAAGCGAACACGGATTGCACATTTTTTCCTTTATCAACTGAAGCAACTCTTTTAAAACTACCGACACACCAAGTTTTCCAAATTGAAGTCATTGCTGTGGCACTTCCTTCTGCGAAAAATCGAAGAGGTGCGCAAACTTTTATGAGCGGAGGGATTAAAGTTGAACGAAGAGGTTCATCTGTTTATTAATCAATTATACTACAGCTCCTTTTGGAAGTCCTCAATATGCTTTGAAAATGAACACAAACGATAATAAAAAGGAAAACCTTGAAAGCATTCCCTAGAGGATTGGAATTATCCTTTAAATGTCGCCTGATTGAGGCCGCGTTCACGCACTTCTCTTCCCCTTAAACAAATAATTGTGATGAACTTAGCTTTATTGCTGTCTTTTCTTTAAAACACTCTATTTTAATAATTTGATTTTACTCGCACAGCTTGTTTACAGCCGCTTGCTGGTTGTCGCACTATCAAATTTCGATTATCGATAACTCTACAGCAACTGACGATAGTTGCCATTCGTAATAAAATTTTCTTTCTAGTTGCGTTGCCTGCTGCCAAGCGAACCGTGGTTGCGACCAATTAATTCAGAGTGAATTTCAACCCGTACCAATTTGAATTCAAAATGAGTTTTATTGAAATTCACCAGGAAGTGAATTTCAGAACCTGCCTGTTTGTTTACCTTTTTCAAACGCGCTGAAATTGTATCTTCTTAAGACCAACATATTTTTACATGACTTCGCGAATTTAACAGTCTTTTAAACACAGTTTTGTAAATTATAGGCGTTTTAGGTCACTTAAAAAGTTCGTGAATTGTTTTTTTTTTGTTTGATTTTGTTAAACGTGTTATTGTTTTGTTTTACCAGAACACATCACTTTTCTAGCGGAAAATATAATATACAAATAAAATATACATCTTCGTCAAACCTTTCACCAAATCAATATAATTCCATTTTTAGAAGATCAAATTAAGACCGATTGACTTATGTATGGATTTATAAAGAAAACGGGGATTTTCGTAGAGCCCGCTGTCATTTTGTATGGACCTTCGACCTACGACTCAATATGTCATTTTATTCCTGAATTAATCCGTGAAAGTTCCTGCCTACATATTTATGATTTAAGAAACAGTTCCATATATGTACTACCCATCATTGTTTATAGCATATGTATATGTATGTATGTAGTATATGCGTGTTTTATGTATTTCAGTTTAAAAGCATCGGAAGAGAATAGCATCATTAAATCTGACTTTTATTATCTTTGTTATTGAATACCTTATCCATCAAATGCATAATTAATTTGCTTACTAAAGCATGGTTTACTCTCTTAAGGAATGTCACTGTTGGAACGAGTATTTTACTATAAAAAAAAAATAACTAACAATGTAATGGCCACATTTCTGCTTTGCGTAGAAATTATGTATACATATACCTATGTAAGTCTATTAATATTTAGGATAGGTAACTAAATTATAAAATCGTGAAATTCTTTAAAAGAATATATTCATTAATATATAGTAACAAATACATTTGTGTTTGTTCGTTTTACGTTGATTCATTTGAAACTTTGAATTTATATAGAATAGCTTCAACTACATAACTTCAAGATGGAATAGAAGCTTTGAATTTTTTGTTTTTATTTATCTACAATTAAATTAAGTCGCTTGCTATATTCATTTATTAATTCATTTGTCAGCAAAGATAAACAATAGTTTATATGCCTGTTGCTTGACCTAACCGCATGTGACACATGAATATAACTACATACATATGTATGTATAACGTTTTTTTCTTTAATTATAAACAGTTTGATAGATCTTCTTATGAATATACAAATTTACTGCTACATGTTTGATTTTTCCCTCAACCATCTAAGCCTGCGGATTATGCCCAAAAAGAGTCCAGAGAGTGGTTGGGTCAAAGTAACCAGTTCAAACCAATCGTGATCGTGATAGCTTACACCAGAATATATTTACAGTTAATTTTAACCAAGTTTTACTGATGCCGAAAGAGCCAAAACCCCTGAATTTTTGCAGCGACCAATTTTTGCGAAATTTTCACTTGGACTCGCTATATCTCAGGCGTTTTATTATCGCTTAATTTGAAGATTTTACACATCAAGCTAGATATTATTCTAAAGCAACTGAGTTTAACTACAGTTCTTAATACTTATTAAAAACAAAATGGCTGATTTTTAAACTTTTTTATAAAAATTATGGAGGTAGTTTTTACAAATGCTAAAGGTGTGCTATAAAATTTGAAAATTTTGTTTTGTTTTAATGCAGCATTATAGATTATAGCATTATTATCTAAAGAAATTTTTTGTAAAGCTTCATGCTTTACACAGCAAGTAGTTCCAAAGTTATAGTAATCAGCCTCATTGCGAGAGTCGTGTCGAATGCAAGTCGTTTTTCGACATTGCCAAAAATTTCGACTCGACTAGCGTATTAAAACCGCAAAACGTTGCAGCACTGCATAGTTTTCGACAATTTGGCCTAATTTACGACTTACGCAATGAGGCTGAATATTATTTTTTACATAGAACTTGTACAAGTAATTTTGTTTTTAATGAGTATTAAGAACTGTAGGTAAACTCAGTTTCTTAAGAATAACATCTTATTTATTGTGTAAAAATTTCAAATAAATCGATAATAAAAAGTCTGAGATATAGCGAGTTTAAATGAAAATGTCGCGAAAATTGGCCGCTGTGAAAAATCAGGTTTTTTGGCTTTTTCGGCATAAAGGGATCAGTAAAAACTTGGTTGAAATTAACTGTAAATGGATTTCGGTGTAAGCTATAGATCACGATCGGTTTGAACCGGTTACTTTGACCCAAAAAGTCTTTGTTATTTCTAGAGCACTTTTTGGGATTAATCCGCAGGCCTAATCATTTCAGCATAACTGAAGTAGATTCTCACAACTTGCATTGACAATGGGAAAGTGTGTTTGTTTCTTGTTCGTAAGCTTGCTACGATTACTTAAGCTTGTTTCTTAGAAATTGACAACAATTTTAACATTTATTTTTTAAACATCTTAGATTAATTTAAGTGACTTGGAGCTGTTTAATTTGATCTTGGTGCGCAAATGCCGATTTTCAATTGAGTGCGTGATTAAGGTGCATTGTATGAATGTTTTAATAAGACATATGTATGTATCTTTTATTCTTACTTAATTATAAAAATTGCTAATTCGGAAATATACAATAATATATAACTTGTATATATGTAGGTATGTGGGTATGTAATATTTAATATATGCAATATTCGTTAACTTAACTGAGATTAAACAATCTGGACAATTTTATTTAATTTTTAATTTTTTTGAATTGCGAATTATGTGGTGCTACAGCGGCCATTTAATTTAGTGTTGAGTTGGTCGATTTCTATAGTACATGAAGGTATAGTACACATCATAGTGTACAAAAAAAAAGCTTATACATTTGTATGTATTCAGCATTTATAGTTGTTCTTTCAAATTTTAGAATGAGTTACAGTGTGGTTCAGGCCCAATTTTATTCTTAGTACAACCAGTAGTGCACCTTAGAGTTGGTGTACAGAAGATATAACTTTTAGATGAAGTAGCATAAAAATAAAAAATAAAAAAGTGAGATGAATATTTGCGTTTGCTGAGTTCTATCAGGTGCTTAAAATATCGTAAAACTATGATAATGGAAACCCACGCTCAAGCGTTATAGACGTTCTTTTGTTAATCACCGCTATCTTCCCATTTGCGTTCCTCCATTATTCGATCAAAACAATCAGCTAAAAACGAATGCTGAAATATTGAATGAAGAAAAGATTTCACTGTCGGTTATGGAAAAATATCTTGGACGCGTACTCACATATGGCGTGTAAACTTTCACCCAACGCGCCGGTTTGTCCGGGCGGTTGTATTGAAAGCAGAATGACATTGACTCTTCATCGCTCTCCCAGCGAGTTATGCTTTCCCAGGTTAGTTCGACCATTTGCGACTCAAGTGAACCATCTTCACGGCATGCGAGCAAACGAAAACTTTTTATTCCTATAGAAAAAAAGAATTAAAATACATTTTTGTTTGTTTCAACTAAAAAAAAAATCAATCACTCATTCCGGAAAATGGCCATTGTCATGTACTTACCAACGGCTGGCACTACATGTCCTTCTTTGCGACTATCACAGGTACAGTGCGGAAATACGACATCGCCATACCCGGGTAGCGTACGCGCTAACGCCAAATATTCCGATGCTTTCTTTGCATCCTGTAAGGCTTTCAGTTCATAAAGACGGCCTTCAGCGCGTATATTTCCGCGATTCACTTCATCAACCGCCTGCGAAAGTAAAAAAAGTCAACTTTAAATTGTAGAATTTCAATATGTATTTAAATACCTGATAAAAAATAAATGTTGCTGCTTGTTCGCCATCAGGTAAGCCAAGCTCTCTACTCACTGAGAACAACCATCTACGCACACAGAGGCAAGTGCTGGAGGCGGTACTGTAGTTTTGGACATACAGTTGGTGTGGAATCTCGTGTGGCTGCAGCTTGCGTTCAAAATTATATTCAACAATTTCAAAGAGATAAAAATATTGTTGGGTGTACGACGTTAGGTTGGCTCGCTGAACCAGAAGTTCCCACACCACCTGCGCATTTGCAGACTTTCGCACTGAGACCGTAGATACTTCATGATCCGGCAGCATTACTTTTATGTCCACTGGCGAAGCGGATATATCGTCATCTGAGTCCGTGAGAAAATCTTGCACCGCATCGCTTTCGGCGATGACGCGTACGGCGCACACCTTCTCCAAGTATTGCTCAAGGCCTCGCCGGCGAGTGTCCAATTGCTGCTCGCTTAATTGGAATGGCCATTTTCCAGGCAGTTTAGGAAAATTAAAACCAGCAAATTCCTTTCTTAATATTGAGTGAAGATTGGCAAATTCGCGATAACGACGAGAACACAATTGACGGCCAGCCATATGTATATTGAAAACGATGTAACGCTCTCCATTGCGATTTACAATGCTGTAGTCTGGTATACTGGAAATGCCAAAATCGGTCAACGAAAAACACAATCGTGTAAATTTTTTATATACATAGATACCTAATAGGCAACGATCGTTTATCGGAATAATCAATATATGAGTAACCCGTCTGATCTTCCTGAGGTTCGAGTCTTTCCGCCTCCTTTGAGTCAAAATAATTAAATTTATAAATTATAATATAATATGTACAGTATGTAGCTTGAATACACATCTTACTTGCTGCGTTACCGAAATTACTGTCAGCGTGAGGCAATCCCCGCCAGACTTTATCAAATCTACGACTTGCTTGTGTGTAGCTCCTTCTACGGTAACACCATTTCTGGAAGACGAAACAAAAAAAGAAAAAGATTTTTCATTAAAATTCTATATATTTATAAATACTGTAACCTTTTTTTCCAAGTTTGAATTTTACTTGAAATTTCAGTATCAAATTTTGCATAAAAAAACCCAAACCTAAAATATCTAGACGCTACACTCGACATCGATCTGTCCAAAGACAAGTTAAATTGCACATGATTAAAAGGTAACATGACCAAAAAATTGCGAGAGGAATTGATGTGGTTGGCGCGTAATAGCTTGATCGATTAAACTCACTTGATTGGCAAAAGATAGTTTTGTTTGATAATAACAATTAAAAATAAACTTATCGTTTATGTACATATGTAAGTGAAAATGTGCTGCACTTGAAGAAATAAAATGTTTATCGAGCACTAACAAATATAAAATAGAGCAAGGACTTTTATGTTTTGAAAATCAATTTAAGTGGGCAGTCACCTACTTAACACAAAGCTTGAAATGCGAAAATAAATTATGTCAAGAGTAAGTTATGCGTTATCAAAAGCGCAAGCAAATTATGTGATAGGCAAACCAAGGTGGGATGTTCTTTGATAATCTATGCTATTTTCAACTCTCGCCCTGTATGTATGCTCTGCCAACAACGATCCTTCGTCTTTGCTAAGTGCTGCTAGGGCGGATTTAGAGACTTTGTTAAGGGTCTAATTGACGATTGCAGTTGCGTGCGCGGGCAAATAGAACAGGTTGTCAAAACAAATCGGATTGTTCATAGTCTACAGTGCACCTTTAGGCCCTTGTTAGCTACATATGTGATATTTGGTATTGTATTTAGAGTGCTTTAAGAGTTTTAAGAAAAATTTTTTCAAGTTCTCCCAACACACAAGAACGTTAAACTTACCCTGGCATTCAGTAAGCGGTCTCTAGTCACTACAAGTGACTTTTGGTGGTGAACTTGGATTTTGAGACTATTTGGTATTCAGTACGCTGTCTCACGTCTCTAGTCTCAAAAAAAGTCACTAATTTGTCAGCTGGCTAAGAGCAGCTCTCAAAAATAAAAATGTGGACAAAAAGTCAATTGCTTTCCATTTTATTAAAAAAAAAAAACGCGAATATCAAGCGAGGAAATTTGTTCAATAAGAATTTCGTTAGGAAATAAACCAAAATTCAATCAAGAAAAAGTGTATGCACAGAACAAAACCACTGGTTGAACGAAAGAATATAATCCGCTGAGACGTACCTAACTAAGAACCAACAACGATTTAGCACGGCTCTAAATAGTGACGGACAAACAGAAACTATTCAGAACGAAAAATGACACTAAAGATAGCACAACGCCGAAACCGGTTTGTCTCCAAACCAAATTTGACAAGGGATGACGGAATAGCGTTCCACATTACATCACACTCCTACCCTGTCGGAAACACCAACAACGAAAATGAGAATTCACGGGTAAAACTTTAAGTCGGTTTGAAGCCAATGATGTGAATAAAGGTATGGAAGCGATCAATTTACGAATATGTCCCATTTACGTCAAATCCAAAAAAGCACGGAGTTTATTTAAAACAAAATTAGTACAGATTTGCGAACTGTGAAAAAACATAAACTAAAGAGAGTTTAGTAGAGCTAGTTGACTACTCAAGTTTCTAGAGCGGGTGCTCAGACAAATTTTATCATTATCAAAGAAATTGTCTGTTATTTATTTATCTTTATTATTAGGTATTAAATCTATATATATAAAAATGAAATGTTTTCCGTATGATGACGATGCCTGACCAAATGGCTTAACCGATTCAATTCTGTAAAAAGCACTTTTTTGGAACTTCGATTTAAAAAATTCAAAACTTTTTGTTGTTGTTGTCAAAAATTTAAGAAATCAGAGACGTCACGATTTCACAATTTCATAGAGTTTTCCGTATATTGAATGTCATTAAACTACTAAACGGCTGGACCGATTTCGTTCATATTTGGAACGTATGTCAGTACCTTGAAGGAAAATATTCCGACTAAAAATGTAGTCGCTAGGCGGCACTGTGGTCCGGATATTTCTAAAACCTGCATTTAGGTGCAGATTTGGCTCACATTTGGAACATATGTTAGCCAATTGAAAATGAATATTGGACTAAAAAAATACACGATAGGAGGCCCTGGGTGGAGATATTCCTAAAATTTTGTTTACGCTGGGAGAAGGATAGATATCTAATATATATTTGTCTAAGTATGTATGTATGTATGTATGTGCCATGTTGAAGCCTAAACGGACGGACAGAATCGAACGAAATTCTGACAGAGTGTTTGTTGCCATTACACCCGGGCCTATAATAAGCAGAAAAAAAATTGGGATTCGATAAGGGGGTGTGGCACCTCCCATAGGCGTGAAATTTTTATCAGCAATAATTTCGGAACCATAAACCCCACGAGCTTGAAATTCAGTATATAGGCATTGCTCTGGTAGGTGCTTATAGTAGGCTATAAATAAATGAGTTTGTAAAAGGGGGGCGTGGCACATCCCATAGGCGTGAAAATTTATAGCAGCTATAACTTCGGAACCATAAACCCCACGAGATTGAAATTTGGTATGCAGACATATCTATGATATATATGTATATGAATGGGCTTATAAAAGAGGCGTGGCACATCCCGTAGGCATAGAATTTTTTATGAGCTATACCTTCGACACCATAAGTCACACGAACTTGAAATTTGGTATGCAGGCTTATCTATGGGAGGTGTTTAGAATAAAGTATATATAAATGTGTTTGTAAAAGGAGGATAAATATGTATTCAACTATTAGACCACTCGGATATTTAAAACTGGGTTTTTTTTTTAACTTGAAAGAATAAATCATTTTATTTTTCTCGCGAGGCTGTTAAACGAAACAAGTGCATGTATAATGAATAAAACTACTTCTGAAATAAGTGTTCTACTGGAAAAGTGCAGCTATACTAAAACAGTTAAGCGAATACGAAGCTAAACGGAATCTACCATAGTAGACTAATTTTAATTTAAAAATTCTATCGTTACCTTAATCCCCCTTATATTAGTAATGGAACAAGATTTTTAGTACAGAAACTGATGATCAATATATAGTAGTTGAAGAAAAAAGTTTGCCTTCCCCAATTTGTGCTGAACTGAATATTTTGTATTACTTTGTTTGTTTTTGTTTGTTTGTTTGTTTTTATCAGTAAATGTGTTTTTTTCTTCGTTAATAGGTTTTAGAATTATGTATTTTTTAGGTGTAAATTATGGCCGCCACAATTTATTTATGTAGGTGCTCAAAAGGTTTCCAAAAAACCGTAAAAATTATTAAAGATCGGTCAGAGAAGTCACGCATTTTTTTGATTTTTTCCGAAACCAATTAGCTCTTACAAAAATATTCTGGCAACACTGGTGTAAGCGCCAGTCTATTATTATTATTATTATTATATGAACATATCGCACACCGTCTTCAAAAGAGTCACAACTCAAAATAATACGTTTGGCATAAAATTCAAAAAACTATTTCTTAGCACATCATAATTATATGTTTTTTTTTAACAAATTATAACAAAAATTTGTTCAAGCTTTTGCGGAAAGGTAAATAAAAGCTTTGCATACATTTTTAGGACAGAGATAGTGAAGGTAATATTAAAATACAATCCTGTGCAAAATTTTAGTAAAATATCTTCAAAACTGGGGGAGTTTTTTATAAAATAGTTAAAATTTAAGCAAAGTTTCAAGCTATTTCGAAAAGTGGAGCCAATCGAGCAAAACTGGGGACGCCATTGAATTAAGAAGGCTCCAATAAATTAAGAGAAACCTTTGTCGAAAAAATGTTGATTCGATACCGGCGTCGAAATACATGGCAAAGGGAGTACTCTTTTATGCCTCAATTTGGGAGTTCTCCCTTCAGGTTCTAGTGGGAAATAATGTTTGTAGAATACAAGTTTTTAAAATGAAATGCTTAAAAAACTATACGCGATAAATCGAAAATTTCGAAAATTGTGAAAATTTAAGTTATAAACTTTGAGTTACTTGCCATTTAGTTATTTTTTAGGGCACACTTTACCTACCACAAATTAAGTGTACACATAAGTACTAAATTGCCCATAAAATTTCAACCAGTATATGGTGTGCTTCAAAAGTTATGACATAATTAATTTTTCACCTCCTAAAAATTACACAAAAAATTCACTTGTCTATACTAACTATATAAAGAGAAGTCCAAAGGCCAAAAAAATGTACTTTTTCCCGTAGGTGGACCAGGGACCTATCTATTCGAAAAAATCGTATTATGGTCCGATTTGCTTAAAATTTGGTACGTGGGTAGCTTTTTGCCTATATTAGCATAATTTTTTGTAAGTAATTAGGTAGGTTATTGCCTGGATTAACATATAGGACACTTTTTTTCTGATAGGTGGACCAGATACCGAGGTATTTGGAGACAAGTAGGGGTTATTGTGAAAGGGGGCGTGTCGCATTTCAAACATAAGGAAACTTTTGCCTATCTGTAAATACATATCGCTACCTTAATTCACAGAGGCCTAACCGACACTTTTTTCAAAACTGCGTTTTCACATATTAAAAAATATTAAAGTGTTAGTATCAAAAACAACGGAGCTACATGCCACATGCTACCTGTTTTTCATACTCATTTTATAATGTTTTTTGCTCTCCTGTAAAAAACTTTGTTGATTAGGGTCTTTGTGGATTACGATATATACGTGTGTTTGTGAGAGAACCCCTCCTAAATGCGCGAAACGATTTTAATGATTTTTGTGTATGGGTTTGAGCGGGTCCCTCTATAATTAAGGTTAACAACTTGAAACGCCAGGTGGCGCTGGAGTCGAGTTATTACTAAAAATCGTATTTATTTGGCTCGTATTCAAAATATATATTGGTAACGGTGGGGTCAATATGTACTATTGCACAAAGAGAGCTGCGAAGTGGCGCTGGAGTCGAGTTATTGGCAAAAATCCTCAAGTGAAGTCACTCGGAGACACCAAAGATCAAAGTTAAATTACCACCGTTCAATCAACCACCAGAATCATTGCGGTCCTAAACAGGATAAAGACTATACTTGATAAATGCCTACAAATATAATTGTAAGAACTCTCAGGTATTTCGTCTGAAATAAGTCTATGTATACGGGATTTCTGTGGACTAATGATACTCCCCCATTTTGAAATTTCCACCAACTGTACTATACAGATTCAAGGACGATTCACCATCGAATCAGATCATTGTTGTCACAAGAACTTCTTCATGGTCATAACTTTTTCATAAGGTTATTTAAGATGGCAATAGAAGATATGTCTTCTAACGACCACAAAACCAAACGTGAACGTGAATTGTTGGTGAAAACGTTGGACTAAATGTTTAAATAAAAAATTAATTTAGGGCTAGACTAATATTTTTTTTTTTTTTAAGAAAACATTTATAGCTCAGAAGTTATACAACAAAATCATTCCAAATTTGTTTGAGGCTTCAAGTATACGTCTATGAATTATATCCAAAAGCAATCAGCTTGATATAGTATACAGCAATGAAAATATAGCTAAATAACACAAAGGTTACCTGTTTTTTAGATTTGCCCATATATTAAATGTTCCTTTTTAATTGCATACTTATTTTTTCCTATTAAGGCTGTTCAGGATCTTGTGCATATGCTCTTGCACTTTGCATTTGTCAATTCACAACAATAAAATGACCGCGGTTAACATAGCAGCAAGCATAAAATTTACAAATGTAATAGGGAATTTACATGACTCAACTTTCACAGGCGATTAGTTGAACCAAAAGTTCAACGAAAGTAGGGAGCCGACCAACTTCGTTTTATGCGATTAGTTGAAAGGCTGTTTACACCAGGCGATTGTTGCTTTCAACTAAAAATCGCCTGAAAAATCGCCTCATGTAAATTCCCTATAATTCCAACTGCAAATCCAAGACCATTTCCGCAACATCCTGAGCAGCCCTATTGAGTTAGTTTTCATGACCTCTATACCACCACCACAACGGGGTTTAGCAAATTCACTTTAATTTTTTCCATTTTTCAGCTGTTCGGTTTGGTAGATAAGAGACAATACAACCTTGTGCAATGCTCTATGGCAAACAGTGTTGTCAGAAGTAAGATTTATCTTCAAAGGGCGTGTGTGAATCGGTAACGAAGTCCTATGGGGAAAGGTGTTGAATAATCAGCCTTACTGCGTACGCCGTAGATTAGACTAAAATGCACGACTCGACAACATTGACATTGCATATTGTAGTGCTGAAATAAGTAGACGACAAAAATTGTCGAAAAATATCCATATCAAAGTTTTCCCATTTTAATTTACTAGTTGAATCGAATTTTTAGGCAATGCCATGCACTTTTCGATGAGGCTGAATATCTTTACTATGGTGAGACAGTTTCGCCAATCTGCTGTGTGAAATGAAATATTTTTTGACAGCAGTAATATTTTGATAACCGCAGATTAATGCGAAATAAAATATTACAAATTGAAGTTACATTAATATTTTAAGAAAACATCTATCATCGTTGATTGCAATTCATCAATTTAAGCTTTTATTTAAAGAAAAATTACACACATCAACAATCTTTGCGAGTATCACAATTTTCTATACATTTGTCAAAAATTTCACTAGCCTCATGAGCTACTGAAATTTTATTCACCCCATAGTTTTACAAAATTTACTCTCCGCGAACATGTAATTTTTAAGCAAAAAACAGAACCAACTTCAATTCTCATATCAATATTTTGGTGTACCGTTAATTTGTTCCTGATCCAATTATCGGATCTAAACGAAATTAGTATGGGACCACCCTTCCGATGAAAAAAAGAATTATCGAAATCGGTTGAAGTGGTCCAAAGTTATGCGGTACCATATGTACATAAAAAAATATTAGCTGATAACCTTCTCCTTTTATTAAGTCAGTTAAAAATGTAAGTAAACTGAATTCATGAACTTGTTAGTTTTTTTTTTAATAAAATGTGTTATGGTTTTGTATAATAAAACAAATTAAGTATTTTGTTGCCATACAATTTTAAAATAAAAATATTTCTAGAGAAACTTTTTTTTTCCAACGTTCTGTCACCTTTTTATAGTTTTTTGAAGATTTTATCGTCACTTGGACGATTTTTAACAATATTTTTTCTGGCCATACTGATGGCAAGTGATTAGTTAAATAAACTATCGAATTCCAATACACAAAGGGGCGTACTAAACAGGTTGCTGGGATTGCACCCATCTATGCTTTCATACCATGAGTTCACGAAAGTAATAATATAAGAAAAATAAATCAACAATTAGCCTATACTGTCACAAATAAGACGCGAAAATATCTACATATATGATATACATATACATACATATTATATAGTGAATATTAGTACTTACACCTCTAGTATGCGATCCCCTTTTTTTATTCCTGCCTTCTCTGCGGCGCCGTTTTCGAGCACGGCACTTACGTGTTGCAAGGGGGCATATAACTCTCCGTTTATTGAACGAAGTTGCCCACCCTCAGAAACTTGTCCACGCACATTGAAACCAAAGCCTAAAATTGAAAGAAAAAATCAATAAAATTACTCTAGGTACTTTTGCCGTGCGCTTTTAAAGAATGGCATAGGAAGCATAGATCTTAAAAATTTTTCGCAAATAATTATTATTCCAGTATTACAGAATTATCTGACGTTATAGTATTTGGACAGTCCAGAAATTTCAATCACAAATACCTGTTTCCGTTTTATATATATGAACCACTCGCGGACCGCTTGGCGCTGTAGAGTCACTACCAACTCCACCGCCGCTCATATTAAATCCTTTAATTCAATTATACAATTTTTTATTTGTTGTAGTTATATGTAATAAAACGACTCGTATCTTCCTGCTTAGTGATGCACTTTTAAAGTTTATTAAATTTGCGTAACTTCGGTTTTCATCAGTTCTATGGCCACGTCCTTTTTTGTTGGCTAATGAGGTACAACGTAAATCATTTCAATGTTAAATTGTACAGTGTAGAAATCGTTTTCAGACAATTTTTGTAGATAAGATTTAAAAACACTCCTCACAGGTTTCAATTGCAGAAAAAATTACTTTCCTTTGCTATGAGGACCGAATGAAAATATGAGAAAAAAAATGAATACGAGCACTTCCTTCTGTGGCTGCCACCTGAGAATACATCGTCATGCATGCCGGCCATTCGTGTGAAATCCAAATAAAGATAGGAAATTTGCTGGAAAAATATTTGCGGACAAAAGACTTTAATCTACATTTATAAATAAAAACTCTTTGGAATGCCTCACAGCCCGCCTAAATGCCATTGCAAACAGGCACGGTACGGCACCGGACGGTATAATCCCGCACGATACGCGGTAACGATATACGCAAAGGCACTCAGCAGGAAACCGTGCGAAGAGCGATGAGGACAAAAGACGTCAACGCAATCGTCCTTCAAAATTTATATTTGTTAATATAAATAATTTTAATGACGCTCTCATATGCCGCCATTGTATTTGATACCGCATATCGTACGGGATTATACCGCATTGTACCGTACCGCGCCTCTTTTGCAGGCCTTAACGCGAAGATTCCAACGAATTACTCACCCAGAAAACATGATATATTTTACTAACG